TCTTCTCTTATCAGTGACACCCATAAACCATTATAGGCCTTACACACTCAACTTAACAAACCACTTGTGTTTTGTTTATACTGTAAATATAGAACATCATAAAATATGAAGCATTTTCATTGTGGGTTATACAAGAATATAATTGATTATATTTGATTATAACTAACTTTCGTTTTAAGTATTCAACATGATTTGGAGATCTCAACACTACATGTAAATGAATGGCATTGCCTATATGCATTTGAAAAGAAATAGTACCCCCCTCTGAGTGACTATCTGTTGACTTCACATCTTGTCACAAACCAGGGGACTTTACTTCCTGATTTTTGGAATACAAAATAATTTATCTGGGTACATGTTTTACTGAACGAGCATACTGTGATCTGCATGCACTTATCAAACATTTAATTAAAGTAGTGAAAACAAATAGTGAGGGGGTCCAAAATCAGCCAACGTGCTTTGTTTTTAATGTTCATCACTATAATAATAAGTACATTATTCAAAAGTTTACATTAACTTTGGATAATAACACAGGAGAAACAGATCCTCTCTTTTCCTCTCTCCCTCTCTCTCTCTCCTGACAGCCCGTCACTTTCTCATGCAGCTCGCCAAACAGTGGGCGGAAATAATAATAATATTAATTATTTCACACAAAAAGGTTATGACAATATATGACTATTGACGTACAAATAACACTGTCTGTCAATTGTGTAAAATAAGAGGATTAGATTACAACTTGTATTTAGAAATACTCTGTTGTAATTATTGATGCATAAATGTGTTCATCCATTCAATGTGGCATCTGCTATAATGGGGTTAATGTATGATATTACTTAATAATACAATACACTATATAATATATGATATGATAATTACATTTTAATTTGATTCATTTCTTATTTCATAGTTTCTCATCATTATTATGAAAGCACCCATTGTTTTAAATAATGGAATGTGACCTGTGAGCCTTCTGAATTACTGTGGGATAGCACATTCTAAACTAAAATGTTCAATCAATAAAGTAACATCTTATCTTATCTTATCTTAATAATATCTTCATATTAATAATAATAATAAATCATACAGTATGTGTCCGAAAGCGAGCAGGAGGAAGCAAACACAAAAATATACAAAAAATATACTGCATATTAAAGCAAACGATTGTAAAGGTAAAAGTATGAGCATCAAATCAAATCAAATCAAGTTTTATTTATATAGCACATTTTTAAACGATTTTTGGTCGAGCCAAAGTGCTGTACATATAATAAAAATACCCTACAGTAAAGACACTTTACAGCAAATACAACAGCACTGTTTGTTCAGAATATCAGTATGAGAAAACGACACCCTCTGTCCTTAGCCCCTCACATCGTACAAGGAAAAACTTCCAGAGAAAAACCCACATTTCAAAGGGAAAAATGTGAGAAACCTCGGGGAGAGCAACAGAGGAGGGATCCCTCTCCCAGGATGGACAGAAGTGCAATAGATGCCGTGTGTAAATCGAAGAGATAATACATTTTACAGCGTAGGTAGACCGCATGACAAATAAAGAAGTGTAATGTAAACATTTACATTATTATTATGATTATTTAATATATAAAGACTATATATTATTGAATTACAAGATTAGATATACTTTATTTGATCTAAAATATTGATGTGTTCAAATGCTCTTCTAAACAAAACTGAAAGTCCATGAAAAGTTGTCTTTCTGTATTTGTGAATGAAGCGCCATCTCCTGGTTAAATCCTGAAATTGAAAATCTGGCAACGCCGTCTTGGAAAATAGTGGGAGGGCTTAACATTCCCAGATGCTGGTCTTAGGCAGGTGGCAGGCAGGTAGCAGGCAGGAAGCTGTAAGCTGGAATCTGAAATAAGATGCTACATCTGTAGAGCGAAATGAGGCATGGCTAAGGCCCCGGCTCCACGAGGACAAATACGGCAAAACGCATCGGAGTAACGCAAATGCAACCGCAAAAAACCTTCCGTCCCCACGCAATATACACCGGATTGTGTCAAGCTCCACGAGACGGCTCCGTTTACATCCAAACGCTGGAAAAGCTGCAGTACATATGCCGAACCTGTACGTGGCGCTGTAACTTCCTCCACAAAAGCAGCAACTTCCTCCACAAAAGCAGCGAAGAAGAATGGTTGTCATGGCTGCACTTCTGTGTATTCTCCGCGGTGGGGGCCGACAGAACCGGGCAGAGTTTTTCGCCGGTCAGCGTGTTCCACTCTGAGCCTGTTTTTCAGGTCTCAGGCTCGAAAATGACATTCCCAGAACAAATGACCATATCTTCCCTTCTAAAAGGGTTAAATTAATAATCTTTTCTCAAAGTAATGATAAACCTGTGAGTTGGATGTAGAAGTGTCAGAATCAATATAAATGTTTTTTATTTTAAAGAAAATTCAGATTTTACATAGTAAAAAACTGTAAATTATAGTGTCCGTCCAAAAATTATTTTTTACAGATAGTGAAAACTACCCTTGGATGATGGGTTAGTAGACTAAAAGCTTTAGGAATCCAAAGTACAACATATAATAAGTACCCTGTATCAAGATTGATGCAAAACAAGTGAAATGTGACCTTTTTAGAGAGATTTAGCCAAAAACTGGGCCATCTGGGGTCATTTGGGTGGATTTGACCTATCTCTGGCCCCCCTTGCTCGATCTGGTTGGTTGACATACCCTTGTGACCGTTAGAGCCAATAGAATCGAAGGAGGAGACTCACATAGACACACATTATAAAGAAAAAATGTTGCCGCTTCGCGTGTGGAAAGCGAAACTAAACTGGAGGAATGTCTCCTTCTGGAGTTTGGAAACTAAAACGCAGTTGTATTGCTTATGGATTATCAGAAATAATTTCAAAGAAGGCACAGACACATAGGATGAACCTATGGATTAACTGCAGCATCGTTTTTTTATCGTTTTAATGCCATTGAAGACCACTTTTGACCAAGGTGAGCCATATTTACATGTTTAGCTTCTTGGCTCCACATGTGATGATGTACGCTTTCGTTGATAGCGTCGCGAATGTTTATCACTGAGTGTTGAGGTGGGCACCGTTAGATTCAGTGTCTCCAGGACACCAAAAAATAGTGTTTGGTTGTGCATCTAGGATAAGTAATAAGGGAGTTCTGAGTGAGTTTATGTGCCTTTGTCGGTCCCGTTTTTTCGATCGAGGCTAATTCAGAGGCTGAGTGCTAGCATTGTGGGTTTTTTTTGAAAAAAAAAATTAAAAAGATCAGTTAGCTGAGTTTCTTCCCGTTACATGGATATAACACATTCATAGTTTTATTCAATATTAAGATTCCTTAGACGTTGTTTCCTGCAAATGACGCGTTTATCCGCCCGGTACCGGGGGGAAGGCGTGAAACAGGTTAAAGTTTAAATCTTCCGGACAAAATTATAAAAGTGCCAGTCAAAGGTCTTCATTGTTATTTATTGAGCTTTAAAACAAATGAATAACGACGATATAATGATATATAATCATCAAATACACGGAGCCTGTCTCTTTTTCCTCTCTTCTGACAGCAGTGTCTGTCTCATGCAGCAGCTGATCCTGTAATGAGTGACCCGACAGTAAAAATGAACATATTTATAACTAGTTTAGGTAGTTTGAGAGGTAATTAAAATAGCTAAGGGTGATGATCTGACTTGAAGTGTGTGTTTTGCTCCCGCTGCATCACAGCGGCAGGAGCTGCGTGTCTCCGTCCTGTCAGATTAGACTTCACTCGCGTTTATGTCCATATCGAGATAAAGATAAATAATCTGAATTCAAGGAGGAGCTCCTGTAGATGTTGCACAAAGAACTGTAGCATGGTCAGTAGCGACTGGAGCACGATAGCAACCCTGCGGGGGAGAGGCGGGGAGAGGCGGGGCGGTAACACTTTACAATAAGGTACACAAAATGTGCTTAGTTACTGCTTAGTTACTGAGGAACTACTAGGTAGTTAATGGTTAGTTAATGAGTAGTTCCTCAGGGACTGCGATTGAGGAACTGATGGTTAGTTACTGGTAAACAGACTGGGGGTACTGCATTAACGAATCATTCGTTAATGGTTAGTTAATGAGTAGTTCCTCAGTGAACTTATGGTTAGTTACTGGTAAACAGACTGGGGGGTACTGTATTAATGAATCATTCGTTAATGGTTACTTAATGAGTAGTTCCTCAGTGACTTCGATGGATGGTTAGTTAGTTACTGGTAAACAGACTGGGGGTACTGTATTAATGAATCATTCGTTAATGGTTACTTAATGAGGAGTTCCTGAGTGAACTAATGGTTAGTTACTGGTAAACAGACTGGGGGTACTGTATTAATGAATCATTCGTTAATGGTTACTTAATGAGGAGTTCCTGGGAGACTTTCATTGAAGCAATGGTCCGCTGCAGCAGGGCACTTTTAAACCTGCCATCTTCGGCTGGCTTGGGTCCCACACTGGATCAACTGGTGGAGGTGGATCCGACTCACGTTTTACTGCTTAAGTCATCATTATTTACCTTACCATTACTTAGGCCGTTTGGGTACGGTAAACTCAAGGAACTCAAACAAAAACAGTAGTTACCCATTACCTAATGCTTACTTGACCATTACAAAAACAGTAGTTACCCATTACCTAATGCTTACTTTACCGTTACAAAAACAGTAGTTACCCATTACCTAATGCTTACTTTACCGTTACAAAAACAGTAGTTACCCATTACCTAATGCTTACTTGACCATTCATTAAGCAGTATGTGTCCCCTCAAGTAAAGTAATGCATCAAAAACAGTAGTTACCTATTACCTAATGCTTACTTGACCATTCATTAAGCAGTATGTGTCCCCTCAAGTAAAGTAAGGCATCAAAAACAGTAGTTACCCATTACCTAATGCTTACTTGACCATTCATTAAGCAGTATGTGTCCCCTCAAGTAAAGTAATGCATCAAAAACAGTAGTTACCCATTACCTAATGCTTACTTTACCATTACTAAAACAGTAGTTACCCATTAACTAATGATTACCTCACCATTATCTTACCATTAGTTAAGCAGTTTAACTAACAAACAAACAAACAAACACTGTTGATGACAATGACGGATCTACAGCCACTGAAGTTTTACATTTTTATTGAAACAAGGATGAACATAAAAAAAAAGAAAAATGTAAATAAAAACGACTTTTTATAAAAAAAAACTAAAAACAAGTGCAAAGCAAAAAAACATCCATTCCTTCCTCACTTCCCCTTTGGATTAATGGATAATAGTCCTCCATTCGTCTTTAAGTCCTGGACCTTCCCCTCTAAATGTTGGTCCTTTATGGCAGACTTACACATCTCAGAGAAACGGAGAAGGGTTTCCCCCTTCTTCAGTGTTCCCCGGATATCTTGGAAGATGCCCGGGTTCACGGCATGCAGTTCTGCAATTCCTGCAGTGTCGGCAATGGTTTTGCGGTCCACTCCTACCGCTCTGTAAGCCGCCGTTTTATTGTTGCCCTTGTTCACCGCCTCAAGAACACGCTTGTAGCGGGTTATGGCGTCTTCTGGGGTCAGGACTGAAACAGAAAAAAAGACAAATATTTAACTATTTAACAACAGTACTTTGTTGTTGCCTATCCTAATGATGTCTGTAGTGCAGAAATCAGTTTGGATATGGGTTTATTAGTATTGATAATATTCTTGTACTAGTGTTATATAGTGGTAGTGTAATCCTTACATACAAAATTGTGTAATGAATTGGTGTAGTGTAAAGGTATTACTAGTCATGTAGCTTTGCTCAAAGTAATGTTTAAATGTTAGTTATTGTGTTTGGGGTGTGTACCTTTATATACAGAAGTTAGGTTTGGGCAATCAGCTCTACTTTTATCCAATCATGTTTAATAGAGATAACTGATAAGACGATCCACAATGTGGATTTAACGCTATATCGAGATTGCTCCGTTTCTAATTTATAACGCATCAATAAGTTTTAGCCTGGCATCCTCATGTCTCAGCAGCCTTTAAATGGAACAGTTTGGAGAAGCTGCTCTCCCTGTTTTTTTTGAAAAATCTGACACTGCAGGTTAATGTAAGCGTGCAGAGACCAACAGAGATGGAGTTGTTTGGAAACACTGGTGTCACTCTGAACAGAGCGACATCACAGCATGTTCTGTTTAACATTATAGGCCTACTTATATTCAGGGATGCAAACACACGTATGGTGAAAAAAGAGAGAACTATTCGAAACAGAAAAAACAGCGTAATATACCATCTGACAAAGGCCTGAGCTATAATGCTTCAATTAACTGGCTATTCTTTATAATATACTCTGATCAATAGGAGACAGAGATGTTAAGTTACAAATCAAGGGTTTTTATTATTATTTAGATCAGGGGTGGGGAACTTTTTTCTCTCAAGGGCCATTTCAATTTTTACAACTTTCTCCAAGGGCTGTACAAATTATTGAACTCAATTTCTGCTTAAAAATACTAAAATCACAGCCCATTCATTTCGCCTTTCTTTCATGCTGTGCAAAGAAAAAGCAACCTCTTAATCCAGATATTTTACCATGACTCGCGCATGCATGCATACACGGTTGTGGCATGACCACCAAAACAGAAAGATATGGACACAAGATGTGTGCAAATTTGTTTTTAAATGTTGAAGTTAAATGCATCAATCTGGTGCACACCCATATGAAACAGACCTGTAAGCAGATTTCTCTTTTTCTTTATGGATATTTTACAAATCACTCCCCTTTTAAACTGTATTCTTGTTATTTAAAAAAACGTTTTTGTTACTGTCAAAGTATTTTATACCTGTTTTTCATTTAGTCTCTTTTTTTTATATAACTATAATCAGGGGTGCACATAACTGGTACGCAGGTACATGCGCGGCAACAATCTGAAATGCGTACCGTCACTTGTGTCACAAAGCGCATTTGAGTACCGACGTACTTGTGAAGCTTTTCCAGAAGGCGGACGACAGAGTCGGTCTCCGTGTGCACAGACAGGGCTGCTGTTAACGTCGGTCTGTACAGCAGCCCTGCGCTAAAACAGCTGATCACAACGTTCACTCGCTCCGCGGTCACGAAGCTCTGTACTCCACTACCACCACCCCCCCCCCCCCCCCCCCAATCGCGAAGTGCTGTAGTCCACCCCCCCCCGTTGACAATCGCCAGAAGTTGGAGTACCAAACACTGACTCCAGGTACTCATCTGAGTACCTCACTGAGAAAGTTGTGTGCACCCCTGACTATAATGATCATATCAAGGTGTGCCTTAACCTCACTGAGCTGAGGTTATTTGAGCCTCTCAGTCTGTCAGGAGAGAGCTCTCTTCCACCTGGTTGTAGAAAAATGTCTTTATAGCTAGCTAGCTAACCAGATGCTAATAACAACAGATCGCCAATGGGCTTACAACTAAAGACACAGCCACGCAAAAACTGCGGCATGTATAAGGCATCCTTATGGGTACTGCAATATTTGAAGTGCTGGAGCGGCGTTCCGTTGTCCGTCAGTCTGTGAGTCGGACACCCCCAAAACGAAAACTCTTCGGTTCTCCACGAATTACACAAGTCACCCAAATCAGCGTTAAAAGGTTAGCCTGTTTTAATTTTGAACGCAAAAAACAATGCTGTGTTAAAATAAAATACTCTCGTTTCTAGCGCCCTAATGTCATTTACTTATTTAACAATTTAACTAATTTAACCCATAAGAACCCAGACCCATTTCTACTTTTGGGGAAATTAAGGGGAACATAATTTAGACTAAATAGACCACATTTCTGACAATGTCACATTAAAGTTCATTTAATGCTAAAGTAACTCTTATTTATAACTTAATGAATGAGGAGGATTTTTTGATTTAAATTTGTTTGAACATTCTTTGAATTGAAGAATAAAGAATATATTAACTAAATATAATTGGATCAGCTAAATTAACTGAGCAGATCATAATCATATTTCTAATTGTGACATATGTGTTACTCCAGATTTACTGTGAAAGTTTAAGGTTAATGTCCCGATGTGACATCAGTGTCACAGCGATTTTTATCTAATTTGTTTCATATCAATTTGATCAAGAAATGTTAACAGGTTAAATGTAACAAAGGACATGTTATGTAAGCATTTTAATTCTTAAATGGCTTGATTTGTACCTTTAGCAACTAAAAACAAGCCTCTGAAATGTAGCTAGTTCTGTCACATGTGTTAGCCCAGCACATGACCCACCAGACTGTTCAGGGTGTGTCACTTAAGGACTTTATGAGATAAAAACAAGTCTAAAGCTGTATAAGGAACTTTACAGAACATTTAAATGTCATGTAAGCGCTTTGAGCTCCAGGAAGGGGCTTTATAAATGTAATGTATTATTATTATTATTATTATTATTATGTAACAACTGTGTCACGGTGGGTCCTCGTGGTTTAGCTAGCAACCTCAAATCAGATAGCACAGAACAAAAAGTGTAATACATGTGTCAATTGAGATGATTTCGCGAAGCAGTGTTACTAATTTTTCAAATAAAAAAGAAATTTCAATTCATACTTACATTCTGACAACAAACGCTTGCGGGACCCCATCTTCTTTCGTTTGCTTCTCCTCATGTCCATTTTCAGCCGAGATGCACGTGACAGGCTCATGGCCAATCGTAGCACGTGAATGCTATGAAGGGGCGTGTCTTGCGTAGTGCTCCAGCCGGATCCCGATTTGCAGCGCATTAACACTTTATTACGGTTTTAATATTTTAATTGTATATCAGTGAAGATACAGAAGCTGTGCTTTGTCAATTTAACAAGGAAGATGAAATACCTGATTCAAAACATCAAAACTATTGGTTTGAATCGTGTGAACAAGAAATGAGGATCAGGGTGCTAGGGCACTAGTGCGCTCCGCGGCGGAGTTCGCTGTGCTTCAACTTCCGGTCTGGCCCGGCAGCGGCAGTACATCTTGAACTACGCTGGGTGTTAGGGTTTGTGGACAGGCCGCAGTAACGTGTAGTAACGCCGCAGTAGTCTATGGTTTTAGGTTATCATGACACTGCACACCAAACAGACTTTTTAATGAAAATGGAATTGCTTCAAGGAAAAATGAAATGCAAACTCTGCAAAAAGAGGAGGAAACTGGAGAAACACTCAAACGTCGACGGACTGCAGTGGTAAGTCTTACATTTTTAGCACGGGTTTTAACGATGACTTCCTCTGTTTACTGATATGTCATGTTACAAAGATAAGTTCTTTATCAGGAAAAAAGGACTAGGAATTTACGATTGGTCTTTTGTAGGAAATGCCGACGTAAAAAACACAGAGGGAAAACGACGAAGAAGTCAGTGAGGTGTGTGTCCCTGTTTGAGAGGAGCAAATTATCCTTGTTCAGCTGGATGAAATACATTTACAGGTAATATTAATTCATCAATAATATCAGTCATTTCCTCAGAGCACAGCAAATGAATGCCTGTAAGTATTACGTTTATTTTAAGCATGTTGACTGTTGTTTAACATTGCCGATATCTAAATGCTAATTTCAGTTAGCGCGTCAATTCCGTTATCCATTATATGTTAGCATTGAGCTAGCGGACTAAATGCTAGTTATTTGGCAATTCACAACGCAGGCGGCTTGGAGGTGTGGCGGGGCACATTGGCGTCGCTTTCACACCAAGCCCCCAGGAACTGCAGGTATCCCTTGAAAAAGAGATAGTTGATCTCAATGGGATTTTTTACCTGGTTAAATAAAGGCTACAAACAAACTGCGCCGGACTCTGATGACAATATTCGAGAGTTATTTCCCTCGGCATTATGAACGCGCATCTAACCCACGGGACCGCGCCGCCCGGCACGTTCATGTTACGTGTTCAGTACTACATGCGTTTTACCCATAGACTATAAAGATTTTACCTTTACCCATGGATGCACAATAAGAACGGACCCATATCGCCTTACCGTTCGGGTGTTCAGAGTAGAGCTCCCTGTTGGAGCAGCAGAGCGTGATGAACATTGAACATTTTTTTCACAAACATAGCCACAACTCTTGTAAATAAATTACCCTCCCACTCAGGGCTTTTTGGAGTAGATCACATCATGACCTACTACAAAAACCTAGGGGTACGCAAAGATGATTTCAGTCTAGCAAGGGTAACAACAGCAGAGGTACTCATTAAACTGAGCGCCCTCAAACCTAACAAGGCCACTGGCCACGACAATATCCCCTCCAAATTCCTCAGAGACACAGCAACCGCCATCTCACCAGTCATAGCTCACATAATTAACCTCTCCATAAAACAGGGAAAAGTACCCAAAGACTTCAAAATTGCAAGAGTAACCCCCCTGCACAAAAAGGGCAGCAAATTGGACCCAGGCAACTACCGCCCTGTTTCTATACTTACCTCCATCTCGAAAGTCATGGAAAAAATAGTATATGAACAGGTCGAAAAGTACCTCGCAGAAAAGAAACTAATCTATGAATTTCAATCTGGCTTTAGAACATCCCACTCCACTGACACATGCCTTCTTTATTTGAACGACCACATCAAACAAGAGGTGGACGAGGGTAAATACTGCGGCATGGTGATGCTGGACCTACAAAAGGCTTTCGACACTGTCAATCACCCCATTCTGATTGACAAGCTAAAAGCAATTGGTTTTGATAAACTATCGGTGAGCTGGATGCAATCCTACCTGGAGGGGAGAGAACAGATGGTGGAGGTAAACGGTACTCTGTCCCCCCCCCTCCCAGTGAGCTGTGGTGTTCCACAAGGAAGCATATTAGGTCCGTTACTGTTCCTAATTTATGCAAATGACATGTCATCAGCATGTGACTGCAACTTGTTCCTGTTCGCGGACGACTCAGCCCTGCTGGTCTCTGACAGGAGCAGATTGCAGGTTGAAAAAACCCTCAGCTCCGAGCTCGGCAGAATCTGCACCTGGCTCGCCGATAATAAATTATCATTACACCTGGGTAAAACAGAGTCCATTCTCTTCGGTTCGAAACATAATCTCAGCAAATCCGACGACTTCTCAGTTGCAGTGGGTGACATTATTGTCACAAGTAAGAAGGAAATTACATACCTAGGATCTATTCTTGAGGCAAACCTCTCCTGTGACAAAATGGCATCCAATGTAATAAAAAAAGTCAATCAAAGAACTAGATTCCTATACCGGATCTCCTCTCTGGTAAACAAAAACACCCTGAAAACTCTGGCAGGAGCACTCATTCAAGGGTACTATGACTATGCTTGCACGTCATGGTACCATAGCACCTCCAAGGCGCTAAAAATAAAACTTCAAACATCGCAAAATAAACTGGTCAGACTACTGCTTGACCTTTCATCTAGAACCCACCTCACCTCTGCCCACTTTGACAACCTAGGATGGCTTAGAGTAGACGACAGAGTACAGCTACTTGCAATGGGCCTGGTCTACAAGATCCACTACACCTCTATGGTACCCATGTACATGTCAAAATTCTTCCCAAAGGTCAAGGAATACCATGATCATAACACCAGAGGGAGCTCCACAAATCATGTAAAACCCAGATTTGGCACAAAAAAAGGGGAATACACGTTTCGCAATTATGCCACATCAAGGTGGAACGCTCTTCCCACAACTGTAAAGGAAAGTAAAACTATACTTACCTTCAAAACCTCTCTTAAAGAGCACCTTCGGGGGAAAGCATTGCAAAACTGGCCCCGGTAATGGTACAAATCTCAACCTGTCGTACAATGGACAGCTTCCCCCCCCCATCTATGTATATACTCGCATTTTAGACTCTGTTACTAACTGTATATCTGTAGACTTGGTATGTCTTAAATGTCCGGTTAGGATGTATTAGAACGAAATCTAAAATGAAAATTGTAAATAAGCCATCTGTATGTAAAAAACCACCTGTATGTAAATTGTAAATAAGCCATCTGTATGTCAAATATGTCTTATATGTCTTAAATGATATGATGAATTGGAAATGGGGGACCCTGATGTAAACAAGACGAAAGTCTTTCTCTGGTCTGCATCCCCTTAACAATTGTATGTTTTGAGCTGTACTGTACTGTACCCAATATACAAGCTGTTAATAAACTTTTCAATCAATCAATCAATCGATGTGAACAAAATAATGTTTCTGTCGCAATATTATTTAAGGAATCGTTGAGCTAGCTAACTAGGATACATTGTCACTATCTGCTAACATTAGCTTTAGCCTTCGTTTTCTAATTTTTTCATAGGCTATAAACAGAGGTGGTATAAGTATAGATATTGTACTTGATTAAAAGTAGAAGTACTCAGATCGGGTACTTTAGTAAAAGTAGAAGTACTCAGATATTGTACTTGAGTAAAAGTAGAAGTACTCAGATATTGTACTTGAGTAAAACACAAGTACTCAGATATTGCACTTGAGTAGAAGTACTCAGATCTTGTACTAGAGTAAAAGTAGAAGTACCAGAGTGTACGAATACTCTGTTACAGTAAAATTCCTGCATTCAAAAATGTTCCTCAACAAAAAAATGGGTTCAGAATGTTTAAATGTGTGATTATTCTAATAGTTTAAAAATACATGCGTAGATGCTATGATATAGGAAAACTTGATAGATACAATTAATTAGCAACATTAAAATATTCTGTTTCATTTTGAGTAATAACAAATGTCTAATGTGAATTATATAATTAATACATTAGCCACTGGTGCTGAATGCGTTCGTCTTCATATGTTTTTGTTCATATTTAGTAATTGTATATTGATCTTTAACAGATTTTCCCAGGGACTGCAGCTAAGGCAAATGGACATGCTGCAGGATGGCGTGGCAGGAAGCAGTCGCACGCTGTCAAAAATGAGCCAGAAGTTGAGGAAGGTCTGCAAGCGTGCAATCAAGAGGAGAGAAAGGAGGGGAAAGCAAAGACTTGGAGGACCAAATGAATTTGTCATGCTGGACGAAAGCAACTTCTACCACAAAAGGAAGGTGTGTATAAACTACAGAGCCTTAGCCTTTGGCCTCACTAAAACTAAAAACTTTGTTTTTCAAGGTGAAATAATAACATATCTTTTAAGGTCAGAGATTAACAAATGACTGAGCAAAGTAATGTAATTTTATAATTGTGTCATTCACACCCTTATGACTGGCGTGCTTAGGCTTCCAAGACAGAGTATACATTAGAGAGAGCCAGCTTCACATTGTATACACAGTCAAATAACAGAAAAAAAGAATTTAGAAGCTAAGAAGTATCTCATCCAATCAGATCATTAATCAATAAGGAAATAAATCCATATTCTTACATTTTATTACTAACATTTTAAAAGGGCATAATCTATTTATATATCATCTAATTCCAATATCTATCTTACCGTTTCATGTTTCTTGCAGCAAAATAAGCAAACTTTAACTTAATAAAATTAAACAGCCTTTTCTGTTTGTACCACTACATTTTAATATTTTTCTCTTCTTTTTTGAGAAAGGAAGTGAATATTTTTAAATTGTAAAAGAACGCAAATAACAAACACATTTCACTTTGTTTATCAATTGAAATTACTGATGTTTATTTTTATATAATTTTGTTGTCCTTTTTCACTACTTTATTACAGTATGGTAGGGGAAGATTCGGTCCTACGTGGAGGAGGAGAAAATGGGTCTTTGGTATGCTGGGCATCAGAGGAACAAGGAGAAGACCTATCCTGAGGCTGGTGAAACAGAGATCGAGGCGCCACTTAATTCCTCTGGTCACAAAATACGTTCGCCAAGGGACCACGGTGATAACGGACATGTGGAGGGCATACATCACTGCAATCACAGAAAGTGGCTTTGTCCATTTCTCTGTGAACCACAGCCGTTCATTTGTGAACCCAGTCACAGGAGCCCACACCCAAAACATTGAGCGGGCTTGGTCAACATACAAGTCACAGGTCTGGAGACTGCGAGGAAACCGCACAGAGAAGACTCTGAAGAGTCATCTTGCTTTCATCGAGTGGACACATTGGCTGGCAAATAAACACAAAGATGGTCCCTTAGGCAGATTGCTGCATGACATACGCCGCTTTTACAAGTTCTGAAAGCAACCTCCTTTTTGTTATTAGTGTGCTTTGGATTGTTGTTTAAATAAAAATGTAAACTTGAGTGCACAGGGTTTGTTTGTTTGTTAAACTGCTTAAATAATGGTGAGGTAATCATTAGTTAATGGGTAACTACTGCTTAATGAATGGTCAAGTAAGCATTAGGTAATAGGTAACTACTGTTTTTGATGCATTACTTTACTTGAGGGGACACATACTGCTTAATGAATGGTCAAGTAAGCATTAGGTAATGGGTAACTACTGTTTTTGATGCCTTACTTTACTTGAGGGGACACATACTGCTTAATGAATGGTCAAGTAAGCATTAGGTAATAGGTAACTACTGTTTTTGATGCATTACTTTACTTGAGGGGACACATACTGCTTAATGAATGGTCAAGTAAGCATTAGGTAATGGGTAACTACTGTTTTTGATGCATTACTTTACTTGAGGGGACACATACTGCTTAATGAATGGTCAAGTAAGCATTAGGTAATGGGTAACTACTGTTTTTGTAATGGTCAAGTAAGCATTAGGTAATGGGTAACTACTGTTTTTGTTTGAGTTCCTTGAGTTTACCGTACCCAAACGGCCTAAGTAATGGTAAGGTAAATAATGATGACTTAAGCAGTAAAACGTGAGTCGGATCCACCTCCACCAGTTGATCCAGTGTGGGACCCAAGCCAGCCGAAGATGGCAGGTTTAAAAGTGCCCTGCTGCAGCGGACCATTGCTTCAATGAAAGTCTCCCAGGAACTCCTCATTAAGTAACCATTAACGAATGATTCATTAATACAGTACCCCCAGTCTGTTTACCAGTAACTAACTAACCATCCATCGAAGTCACTGAGGAACTACTCATTAAGTAACCATTAACGAATGATTCGTTAATACAGTACCCCCCAGTCTGTTTACCAGTAACTAACCATAAGTTCACTGAGGAACTACTCATTAACTAACCATTAACGAATGATTCGTTAATGCAGTACCCCCAGTCTGTTTACCAGTAACTAACCATCAGTTCCTCAATCGCAGTCCCTGAGGAACTACTCATTAACTAACCATTAACTACCTAGTAGTTCCTCAGTAACTAAGCAGTAACTAAGCACATTTTGTGTACCTTATTGTAAAGTGTTACCGGCGGGGCTATGAAAATGAATGACCGTATAGGCGACTCCACGGCCCCGTTGGACCCCCCAGAGCGCTCCGTTCCCAGATCTATCCACCTTTGGACCCGTTGTCGTTTGCGGGGTCTGTTTCTACGTTTCCCTTACGGCGTCGTCGAGCTTAGAGGGCTATACGCATGAGAAATATGCGGATTCAACCCGTTTTCGTCCTCGTGGAGCCGGGGCCTAAAATGCATGATCTGTTTGGTATTTTGAAAACAGAAACGTATAAATATACCTTATATAGGTATGGCCCTACAATATATAATTTAAATATAGCATGATAGGTCCACTTTAATGTTATTATAGTTATCTTAATTTGTTGTATTCATTTTGTATGTATGCACCATAACACCAAGACAAATTCCTTGTCTGTGTTAACCTACTTGGCAATATTCTGATTCTGAATGACTACTTTTACTTTTGGTACTTTAAAAATATAGCAATATTTACATCGAATAATTGGAATAAAATATGTGCTTTTTCAATGTGCAATGTGCAGAATTCAGAGGGATGTGCAGTACTGACAGTATTATAATGAAAACAATATATTGTTTACATTGCATATTACATTACATGTCACTTATTAGACGCTTTCATCTAAAGCAATTTACATGCATTCAATACTGTGGTCAATCCCCAAACCATAATCCGAAGATCAGCGCACTATTCCACTGTGCCACAGCCTCCCATACACATATACTGTAAAGCGTGCAACCTACAAGGCAAGCTGTATATGTAGTCGGTCAACAGTACGTCAACCAGAAATACAGAATCCTACAGTGGTGAGAGTGGTGATCGACCAAATAAGATGATATATTGGCAGCTCACCAAGTGTTAATGCAAATCAGAATTCTGTGGACGATGCAAATTACGATAACCCCTTTGGTTATGCAGCTGCAGGTGCTAGGAGTAAGTATTTTTAAAGACAGCATTGTGTATCTACTGATGCCAGGACATATAAGAATAACTGTCGCTCAGATGGTGCACTGAATTTGACTTTTAACCAATGTACTGTTATTTTGCAGAATTAATGTAAATATGGGATCATACTTTGTCAGTATTATGTATTTTAAACATGGAAACAAGATTATAGTTCCTGTTGGAGTTTGAAATAATCCAGTGTTTTAGGTATTCATTTTTCTATTTTAAATGACACCAAAAAGTTCTGAAAAAGTTTCTTAATTGCACATTTCACTTCCCCATAGTATAAAACATATAACTCAATACCAAAATCACCGAAATTGATCCAGTGGTTAAAATGGTAAAGTTGTTCTGTGGTAAAATATTGGCAAAATGGCGGCCATCTTCCATTTTGGAAATTCATGTGGCTAAAGAGCTTTTTTAAATAAATGACCCCAAAGGTATGAACATGGAAATGTTGGTGCTTGTAACCACTTGTGAAAGATTGTTACAGCTATCTGCAGAACCATTACTATTGGTCAGAAAAAGGCACTAAGTTGAGCTAAAATAAATATGTGTGGTCCATTGAAAGATGGGAAATTACAAAGGAAACATTTTTAAAATAAAAACATTCATGAAAAAATAAATAAAAAATTAGGGGGGAATGTAAACAAATAGAAGAATTGTTACAAAACGAACTAAATACAGAACTAAAAATAATAAACAAATAAATATCAATGTATGTCACTAGCAATATTTTTTAATGTTAAATGGCATATTATTCATGTTATTAATTATTGTTAAGTTATTTACCTATTTTGATTATGTGTGATGTTTTTAAGAGACAATACAATTTTATAAGCCAAAACATAATAAATGTAGAAGTTCTGAAAAGGTCTAATCTTCAGCTGTTGGCAGTTCTTGGGGGTCAGAGCCCATTTTTCTTTTTTTGGCTCGTCTGGTCTTTTTCGTAAAAAATGTATTAAAATGTTATCAGTGAAAAGTAGTCTATACATCTCAAGACATCAGAAAATTGTTCTTTCAAGCAGGGACATGGGAAGTCAGTCAGAGTTGGGGGTGCAGGGGGAGGGGGGATGCTAGTGGAGCCTCACAGGTTGGGGTGCTGCAGCCCCCTCAGCACCCCCACATGCTTTCAAGTCTTGGTGACCATGGGGAAAAAAGAAAATATTTCAAAGCACCAAAATCAATATGTATCTACAATATTTACAAAAAAAGTCATGGTGTCAAGAAGGTTAGTTGTGCCATTCCTCAAACCAGTTTCTGTCAGAAACAAGCCAGAGGGCCCCAGTACACTGTCTACACCTCCAGTTCAGGCTCTGGCTGGCTTGCATGATCTAGCTACAATAAGAAAATATATACTTTTATGCATCCCCAACAACAGCCTCGGATTCGTCAACAGACTTAATGCAATGCTTAATGGGATGCATAACTAGATCTGTGATCTCTATATAACTCCTAGAACACCTACATCTACTTCCAACATGGATACATGTTCATAAAAGACATCCATTGTTTGTTTATACGCTTCTTGAAAAAACATAGTTTTTCTAAAATAGATTAGAAATCGCCTGAAAATGGTACAAACAAGCTTCAAAATGTCTGATGAATGTGTGGCGCTGGGCTATATCTTGCAAGTGAAAGTGAAACTTAAACTCGTTCCGTTGCGGAGATATTCCCCCGAGAGTGCGGGCTGCGGCGCAATTTTACACTGAAAAAAGCAAAGATCCCTGTGTGTAAATGTGGTTTCCGGTTTTAACTTGAAAGTGCACAGGAAGTTGTACTCAGATTCCTCCCATCTAGCTTGACTGTTTAGCTGCCTGGGTGCAGGTTAGTGATGGGAATTCCGGCTCTTCTTGGTGAGCCGGATCATTTGGCTCGGCTCACCAAGAAGAGCCGGCTCTTTCGGCTCCCAAACGGCTCTTCAGTTTACCACATATTATACCTTTTATAATTCAATCAAATGTAGCCCTGTTTTGACTAATGATTTAAATTATTCAATACATCCTTTGTACTGAAGTATTCAAAAGTAAAAATTACATGTTTAATATCAATTATTTGCTGTGGCCAATTGTTTTCATTGCATTTACAGACCCTTGTATCTCTCTGATACCACCCAATGAATGCACAGACTTGTTTGTAGAACCACGCTACACAAAGCAGATAGCAACACAAAAACTTAAGCATAGACATTTAAAAAAAGGGGCTACTGTATCGACATTTTAAAATTATATTTAAAGAAAGGGCCCTGACAAAACAGCAGGGCTCTATTTCAGTATTAACTATAGAAAAAAAGACAGCAACAGCTGACATCAAATCTTTGCTGAGCCCAAGGATAATCATAAATAAATAACATAGTGAAAATAAATATATTGCAATGCTCAGTACAGCAGCATCCAACCGTCTCTAATCATAAAAAAACATAATAAAAATAAATGTATTGCAATGCTCAAAACAGCAGCATCCAACAGTCTCTAATCCTTGGATATTACATGTCACTGCATGCATGCACGGAGCAGCTGTAGCGCGGAGATCATCATATCATTCTGTCTTGTATTACTTAAAAAAAAAAAAAAAAAAAAAAAAACGGCTCGTTCGCGGGCGCGAGCCGGCTCCCGTCGTTCACTTAAAAGAGCCGGCTCTTTGAGCCGGCTCGTTCGCGACCGACACATCACTAGTGCAGGTGCAACACATTGAAGAGCTAATGAGGACAGACTGCATAAAGGAGTGGAGCGAGCAGTGTGTTCAGTAAGTATGACGTTTAATTACGATTTTTAAGTCCCCATCCTAGTTTCATATGATATCAGGCATTATTAATCAATTATAAACTATATTTAAAATTAAAGGTGGGGTAGGTACATTTGAGAAACCGGCTCGAGATCGCTAGAATTTGAAAATACACAACCGGAGAAAATCTGCCACTTCCTTATAGAGCCCCTCCTCCAACACACACGAACGCGCACATGACCAATGAGGGCACGAGATAAATTTGTGCACAGATGGAAGGCTGACAGGCAGGTAGGCCATCCAGTTATTTTAGCCGGGCCGGCTAAAATGATTGGTCGTACTTTTTACAGTATTACGGCTTCCACAGATGACATTTTTTTATGGATTTTTTGTCAAAGCACTTAAGATATTAATTGCTATCGGGATGTTAAGAGCATTCCATGGAATATAACAAAAAGTGTATCTCGAGCCGGTTTCTCAAACTTATCTACCCTACCTTTAAGTTGTAAACGTTAAAATGGTACGTTCCACCCCTAAAGCGGACCATACCATGTCACAGTTAGCTTCAAGTCCACGCTTGTTTTCATCACGTTTTCCAAAGGAGTGGCTCTATATATTTATTGTAAGTAACAATATATTTTGCCAGTGTAATACAATTAATGATTCAGACATAAAAGTTCATTAATTTGGTTTATAACCGCCTTCAGACTGCTAGCAAAATACTGACGCACATGTCTGTGCCCCTCCCCCACCACCCATGCTATTTACTCAAGCAGATTTATTTTCTTCAGGGCTCAGGCTTGATTCATTCAAATGATCAAATATCATGCTAAAATTAAAGTAATGGTTTGTGATGTAAAGTAGTGATAGAGTCTGTGCATAGGCTAGCTGTTAACGTGTATTTGCATGGTGCTTAGGTGTGTGATATGCTTTTGCAGCTAGCACAGTTTGGAATGATGAACAAGAATTTAAAAAAGCCATCTAATTTTTGTAACCTTTCTCTGCAGTTGGAAATGCCACCAAGGGTCAGTCCCCTTAAGGATGCCCAACAGAATGTCCGATTAGATGTGAAATACATCAATGCAGTGAAAGGTAAGAGGATGCTACATAAGGTGTTCATCATTATATTGTAACATAATCAAATCGTGTAACTGTTAGTCGCTTTTTATCTCCACATTTCTTTTGGAATTACATATAGTCCACAGACTCATCATTCTAATGGCCCCTTTCATTGAAAATGTCATATATTGTCTAGCAGGACGTGGTATAGTTGCCCATGGTCAGTTTTCCACAGGAGATTTTATTTTGGAGTACAGAGGGGACCTTATAAATGATAAGGAACTGCAAAGAAGACTAGCAATCACTAGCTGTTGCCTCTGTTTTTCTTCAAGCAGATAAATGGATGATGAAAGTATATTATGATGAATATCTATTGTGAATAAGTACTTCCGAGCGGTTTTCTCAATTCCCTTTATAAGGCCAATGTTAATATAATATTTAGGACAAACTTTGGGCTTTAAACTGACATTCCTTTTGATTAAAAATCACACTTTTCTGGGATACCTACGACGTCCCCACAACACGCCTTACATCTGATCCTGAGTAGAAACTGTGTGTTAAGTGTATTACAAACTAGAGACACTTGGTCCCCAAAAGTGACCACAACATGGTGTGTGAAATGTCCCCACTAAGCTGGTTGTATTCAGTGTGTGAGAAAGACGAGGTTAAGGTAGCATAATGGCGTGTTTCCACTACACGGCCTCGCTCGGCCTAGCTCGGTATGGCTAGGCCTCGTTAGGACTGGCTCACTTTATGGCGCATTTCCATTACAGTTTAGGAACTGGGGTAGTATCTATAGTAACGCAGTGTAGGCGGAGCCGTGACGTCATCTTCAATGAGAACCCCAGAAAAACAACACAGCCGTTAGCTGTTAGCACTCAGAGCTCACAGCTCCTCATATATGTTCAGAAACTAGACAAAAGTTAAACAAGTACAAACCACAGACTGCCTGTGTCATGGCGAATACAGTCGCTGCTTTATTTATGTCTGTATAGGCCGTTGTTGTGAGTGTGGACGGTTGGAGCATATACTGCGTTAGCTTAGCCAATCTCCATTTAGAAAACACGCATTTTAAAAGGTTTTTCGCCTGCCGTCTGTCTGCAGACTTGTCAAAGCATTAATTCATGGTTTTTACTAACCGGTATCAGTATGTTGTTACTTCGGCATCATTTTGAAACGTGTATTACAATTAAATCACGGTCAAATATGTCCATCTTGTTGTAGTTGTAGCCCCCTTGCCAGCGATGCTCTCTCTAGTTTAGCATACTCAGCCCGACTCAGCCTCGTTGTCTCTGGCCCTAGACCCACGATTTTATGAGGCCAGAAAAACTGTGAATTAGGACCCGCCGGCCGGTACTAGGCCAAGTGGAAACGCAACCTAAGACGGGCCGCTGACGTCACAGCCCTCTTAAACCGTGCTCCGCGCTGTAGTGGAAACGCCCCATTAGTGTACAGTATTTAATGGGTGGGGGGCCTTTCTCTCTGAAGTCTGGTGTTTGTTGACATGCATTTAGATTTAGATGTTTCCTTTTAGAAAATGCATTAGTCTTATTTTATAATATGTAGTGATTGCATGAAATTCTATGGTTTTATTCTCTATTTTAAAATGTCCTTAATGGTGATATATTTTCAGGCGCCTGTGACAAGAGACTCCAACCCTGATGGTCCCATTTGAGAGCGAGAACGTTGACACCAGGAATGCTGGGCCCTCTAACAAACCCAACATCAACAGAGAGGTACATCCATGATTACCACTTAGCTTTATACTTAGCATCTTTCTGAATCACTAGCTGTTGCCTCTGTTTTTCTTCAAGCAGATACATGGAGGATGAAAGTATATTATGATGAATATCTATTGTGAACTAGAGAATGCAATTCCTGAAGAAATTGCTAGTGGGAATGCTTTATGCTGAAATGTAATGTGTAAGAAGAAAGTGAAGAATTTAGATTGAAATGATACATGAACACTGGGGGCTTGAACGTGTGATGAGAGAAGAAAAGAGAGTAAAAAGGCTTGGAAAAGCAGCAGAATATTTGAACTGCAAACCTTTGAACTAACTTGATGGTGATTGATCTGTCGTCATGCCAACGGCATTTGAAAAATCTCAAAACTGTCCCGTAGATGTCTTCACGGCTGGACTGTTAGCACACATGTGAAGTTTGAGCACTTTTTGAACATTTTCATAGGAGTTATAGCGACATCGTCTTTTATGGCGAGGGATGCGTTTCCATGGAAACGGCATATGGTGAGATCTCAGATTTGGAGTAGAGCTGTTGAGGCATGGACCGGTGATATACAGGTGAAGATTGGGGGACGATCGGACCGTGTCCATTGGACTAACGGCCCGTCCACACAGCAGTGTTAAAAAAATCTTGGAGGTGGGCGTATCTGAAGCTTGGGGATTTTTTGCGACCAACAACCAATCACATGAATCTCCCGCCCCTGACATACGAAGCAAAAAAGCCCGAAGTAAACTGGATATAAACTCCCCAAACAGGCGAAAACCTACCACTGTCTCTGCCACCTCCCTCCATGCCTGGCTCCTCCGGTTTATATCCCGGTAGGTAAATAGGGACTGGTCATAAAGCACCGGGTGATTCCCTACCGCTAATTTCTCCTCCATTTTTTGGAATATGAGGAAATGACCTGCGGTATGTCTCTCCCAGCATACACGCAGTTTGATTGGCTAGCGCTTGAACTGTCAGATTTGCATACACGGGATTTGATTGGCTGACGCTTCCACCTCAGCTTCAAAAGTTGAACATTGCTCAACTTTGAATCCTGAAAATCTCAAAGTGAATGGGCAGAAGCGTTCCAAGATTTTTTTTAACGCTGCTGTGTGGACGTGCCGTGACAGCGGCATCGTGTTTCATGGCGAGCATTGTGTTGCCATGGCAACGGCATTTGAAGAAATCTCAAAACTGTCTCGTAGATGTCTTCACGGCTCGACTGTTAGCACACATGTGAATTTTGAACACTTTTTGAACAGAGAGAGAGAGAGAGTGTGTGTGTGTGTGAGTATGAAATGAACAGTTAGAACTGACTGCTGTCAGTTGGAGTGATGACATCATCGCATTCCATAACACAGGTGTTGATAGTTGAGCTAACGAGCTATGAAGAGATCAAAGGCTTCATTGTTCTGAATGAGAGATGAACCTCTTACATGTGAACGTTTTGTGGAAGAACGATAACAGATATCTGTGAAATTTCAAAACGTGAAGCATGTCAAGGAAGTTGAGTATCTGAAGTGTAATTTTTGTGTACTTTCGGGTTAATAATGTGGCCTTTTTGGCAGTTTAAGAAAGGTGTGCGGCTGCTGCTGTGAGGAAATATCTGCCTGAAATTACAATGGGCTTTAATGGAGACATGTTGAACGTTTTTGTCACTTCATGCCCTCAAGAGGCATTTTGTTTAATTATTTGTCATTTTTCAAGCTACGAGATGTTTTCCTACGTTTCTCAGGAAAAATTATGTCTCAGGAATGTAGGGTTTGGGAATTATGGCAGTTTTAAAAATAAATATGAAGGGAAATTTCAAGATTTCTTACCCTCTAGCTGTGACATCACGCACTCTAGTTAATGTTAAAATCTGAAGAAAACCTCTTTAACAAGGTCTGAACAATGTTTAATATCTCTAAAAGTAAGAATCAGATTTAAAAGTTGTGTTACACGGATAATGTCAGAAAGATGTGTAACATTTTAAAGTTGGAATGAGGTTTCTGAGTGAAAGTATGAATGAACAGTTAGCAGTTGAAGTCGCATGAAGATTTGTTGAAGTCTGAAGAATTTCTCCATTGACTTCAATGGTTAAAAATGTGATGTATTATGGGATGTATCTCTGGAATTATGAAAGTTATGAATGATAAAAGTAATAGCAGTCGATTCCCGACCGAGCTGAACGTTTTGATGTTTGAACGGAGTTTCTGCGATGTTGAATGTGGGAGGAGAAGACGGACAAAATAATTGGATGGAATAATAATAATAAACTTTTCGTCCGTAGCATAACATATAGTTGGAATACTGTATCAGCATTCCCACTAAACTAGAGAATGCAATTCCTGAAGAAATTGCTAGTGGGAATGCTTTATGCTGAAATATAATGTGTAAGAAGTGAATAATCAGGAATATTTGGATGACTGAATGGTTTCCATATGAATGAATATTATGTTAAAAAGTAGCATGAAACTCCAAATGTATAAATAATGTTAAAGATTTAAGGCTTTGGATGTAGAATGTTATTCATAGGAAAAGTTGAAAATGCAAAAAGAACACTGGCAGCATTATGAAAATAAAAGCTCCATGGTGAAATAGTAACATTTGGCAAATTTTATTTTCAAAAACCAGAACATGGGGGACAAAAACTATATAAAACATTTATATAAATTAAGTAATAAATAATAACAATCAAAACAGAACAAAGTTAGTGATTACTGGTTCCATGTTGATTCATTTCAATACAAATTGTTGGGGGGAACTGAAAGGCTCTGACCGTACTGGTTACTTTGCAGCCCGGACATTTTCCCAAAAACACATTTAGACGTCATCGAAACACAGAAGTACCTTTCAAATCCCATCATTTTTAAGACCTTCTAAATCATATTTAAGAGCTTTTTAAGGCTTTAAATTCTAATTATCAAATGTAAGACTTTTTAAGACCCGCGAGAACCCTGTATATACAACTGTTCAAATCAATTAGTAACAAATTATATTCAGGAAACCACAAGTGAAAAGGAGACATTTTTATATTTTGGTTATCAAATGTGAGGTGAAACATTTGTTATATATTTACACATTTGCGCTGTTTAAGTTTTTTGCGTTACTTTTTATTTGAATACAATCTGACAAACGGCAAGTAAAAAAAATGAATACAACTTTTTTTAAAACTATATAAAACTGTTTAAATGAATTGCTAACAAATATATTCTGTAAAACCACAAAGTGAAAAGGTGAACAAAAATAAAGTAATTTGTGTGAAAGAACATGTGATAAAAAAAACAACTATATACAGAAACTATTGATACAAATGTTGTAATAAATATAAAAAAAATCACTCAAGTGAATAAGTTAAACACATTTATATAGAAACATTTCACATCAATTACTAAAGAAAATAACAATCAGAAGAACAAAAAATCTAAAATACAGAAACTATTCATATCAATTAAATAAATCAAACAAGTGAAGAGAAAAAAACATAGCAACTTTTCATATTAATTAAATAATAGCAGTCAAACCAGAACAAGACAAAAGCAAGCATAAAACAAACAGTTTTACTATGCATTTAATGCACGTCACATATGTATATTTGAATTGAACAATTAAAATCTCACCCTAAATGTAATGAAATAATAGTACGGTGTCTCATACGGCTAGTATTTTACTAAACATCTGGCAACATCATGCAACAATGACTAAGGCCCAATCCCAAACCACTCCCTCGACCCTACCCCTCCGTGGCGGAGTGAACTCCGTCTGTAGCCACACTCGCAGCTGAATGAGGCTCCCTCCTGTCAGATGGAGGGAGTAAATACAGCGGCAAGCTTTGGGACAAACTCCCCTCTCTCCGGCAGAAACAGGAAATGCCGTAACTGTATGTAACAACGGTTTCAAATCAGCATCTCTTAGACAAAAAATGTAAATGAATAACTCAAATAAAACTCCAAACATCTTTCATTGTGTTACTTTTTTGTAAAGCTCTTTTAGTTTTAAACCTGATGTTTATAAGCTTCTTAGTTTTTGCAACAGTCTGTAAATATACACAACTTTATAATAAAATGCACACATTTACCTTTTTCTAGACTAATCACAGGTATGATCCTAAGTTAAAAAAATATGAGGTTATCATGAGGTTGTTAACATCGCAATTTATCAGTGGATGTTTGCTGGAACTACTTGTAAACAGCGTGTTTCCTGACGGACACACACAGCGTGACTCCGGTCAGGTAGAGACCGGTCTCAAGTCAGCACCGATGCAGACTCGCTGTTTGAGGGCTTGATAGCCCACTCCCCCTCCACACCTCTCCACACTCGTTGGTTTGGAACAGCACTTAATGTGGCGGACCCTCCGCGCGAACGCGCAAACGGAGGGGTAGGGGTAGGGTGTAGGGGGCGGTTTGGGATTGGGCCTTTCTTGTATGTTTATGTTCTGTAGCTTCTTTCCATGACCAAAAAAAAAATCAAGGTGGAGGGACTCCGCGTTTTAGAATGTGGATATGTGGAGCTTCTAGAGGAACACAGGACCAGGATCGTAGTACATCGACACATTTGGTTGGAGAAGTGCTTGGCTGGAAAAAACAAAATAAAAAAACTAATGTTTGTGGTGGCAGTGAATAGACCACTTGTGGAAATCTCTCCAACAGAGCAGTGGTCTAATATCAAGTACAGGAAAAACACATCACTCCATTGTGTAGATCGGGTATGCACAACATTTTATATAAAATCAGTCAGTAAGTACCTTACCTGCTGCCTTCAACTAGATCCACAGTGTAGCTCCAAAGGGAGAACAAGAGAGGATTTGGTTGCATTTGCTGGACACAACCTATAGAAAGCATAAAAAACATACACAGATTCACGTGTTTTAATGCCTTGTCCTTAGTTGTGAATTATTGCCACTCAATATTTGCACATGTTTCAAATGTGTAAGACGGCTGATGAGTTCTAATTTGTGCAAATGACA